TTACACACGCCTGGCCCTGCGTGCGTGCTGCTCCGTCACAGTCAAGACGGACCTGTGCCTTGGTTCCCGAGGCCGCCGTGACGAAGCTCCAGAATCGGGGACTTGTACCAGCAGCTGAGCCAGCTGACTGCAGCCCTGAGGGCACACTTCCGAGACCTGGGCTGCTCCTCCGGGGCCCCAGGGAGGCTCCCTCCTGCCTTCCAGCTCCTGGGCTCCTCCTCTGGGTGTGGGTCCCCTCTCTGTGTCTTGGGAGGACACTGCCATTGCATGAGGCCCACCCTGACCCAGGATGAGTCCTCCACTTAAAGACCCTGGGTCCAGACAAGGTCAGGTAGAGGAGTGCCGTATGCACCCCCTCTACTCAGCCCATAACCTCTACTGTGGCGTGTGTGCTGTGGGTCCCCTGCCCCTAGGGGACTGGCAGAGGAGCCTGGGGCGGGTGCGGGGGTCCCCACTCCTCAGGATGCAGCAGGAGGGTGGACGGACAGCGCGAGCTAGGCGGCAGGACAGGCCCCTGCGCAGCACTGTGATGTGGTTTCCAGGGGGCTGGGCGGCTCTGGCCCACCAGCCACGTGTCCCTCCACAGGGCTCCCTCCCACGCTCCTGGCCATGAGCTCTTCAGACGTGAGTCTCTGCACCCAGGGCGTCCGCGGTGGGCCCGGCTCTGCGGGTGGTCAGCCGTGCGGGTGGTCAGCCGTGCGGGTGGGCTCCCCTCCTAGCCCAGGTCCTCCCCCCTCGCTTTCAGGCCAGGGCCGGTGGAGCTAGCTGGCCGGTTTCCATGGACACGTCACTCACGGGGGCTTGGCGGGCAGCCCTGAAGCCTGTGGCGCTGTCAGTCTCGCTGCACTTTCCCTTGAGAGTGTTCTCCCCGCCCTGGGCCCCGAGGAGGATCCAGCCTGTGCCTTGCCCTGCAGAGCAGCCTGGGGAAGCTGACCCCGGCCATGGACAGCTGCCCTTCCCCGCAGCCAGCCCTGGGAGCTGTGGGGGTTCCCTTACTTGCCAACTAAGCAGCTTCTCCCCAGGACTGGCCCGTGTACCCCCTACAGCCCTGTCCTTCTCAGAGTGCACCGGCCGTGCTGGTGGCCAGCATGTCCTGGACGTGAGCTTCTGGAGGGACAGTGACACGTTCCTTGTTACCGAGCGTTAATGCAGGGCTGCGCGGCCGGCTCGCGTGGACTGGGCTTCCCTGGGTGCGGGGTGAGGCTCGCCGTGTCCTTGGGCTCGCGCTGCCCTGCACTCGCATCACCCACAGCAGCTGAGGGGTCCCTCTGTGCTGCTGGTCGCTGGCAGAAGTGGAGGCCCAGGGCGAGAGTCCCGAGCCTGAGACCTGCCTTCAGACGGTTGTCATGGGCCCCTTTCCCTCTGCTCCCAAAGGCTTTGCAGAACCTTGGCCCGTGAGCTTGCTTGGGACCAGTCGTGGATGGCAGGTAGGGGACAGTGCTGTGGAGCAGTGCTCAGGGCCCTCCCCAGACTGCAGAAAACTACCCGAAGCCCCTTTGGGCTCCTGGGCGGGTGTGCCCTGCAGTTGGAGACGTGCTTTAGTGCGCCCTGACTGTGCCCCTGCTGCTGCTGCTACGTTAGTACCTTGAAAATAATCACAGGAAGAACAGTGTGGCAGGATCAGCTTCAACAAAACACAACGGTGACATTAAAAATTCATAGCACCAAAGAACCTGAACCATTTTTTTTCTTTTTACAGCATGCTTCAGAGATGAGCACGCACTCCCTTGACTTTTTGAACTTGGTTAAGATGCCATGTGCGCATCTTTTTAGTTGGGGTGCTTGGGGGACTCTGCTGTGATCCCTGAGTATCCAGAAGGAGGTGCATCATTGCCCTGCTCTTGTAATTGCCTTTTGCCCGCCGTCCAGTTGTCCCCGGGTCTCTGGGATGCGGCTCCTGCCTGCAGTCAGGTGTGATGCGGGTCTGCAGGTGCTGCCGGCCACCTCAGGGTGTGGCTACTCATGGGCAGCAGCTCCCAGATGCGCGCCTTTGCTCGGGGACCTCTGTGCAGGCGCCGGCGTGTGTGTGGACGGGGGCTGAGGCGGCTGCAGCTCTCTTCCTCTGGCTTGTGTGCGGCTTTGGCGTCCGGGAAGTGCGGTGGCCTGAGGACTGGGGAGCGCTCCTCCACTTGCCGGGAACGGGTTGCGAGTTTCCTGCCCGCGGCCCAGGCCTGCGGCCTGTTCAGGGACAGGCCCCTGGAGCCTGGAGAGGGAAGGCCTTGCCTGCACCCTGTTTCCTCCGTCCCTGTCTCCCAGGAGCTGGGTGTCTGTCCCAGGCTGGGCTCCGGAGCCAGGCTCCCAGCTGCTGGCGTGAAGGGGCTCCAGCTTCCATCCGCTCTCTGGCCCCGGCCGGCTCGCTCGCTGGCTGAGCTCCCTCTTCCTGTCTCCCTGGGCCGCCCAGCTGTGGCCCGCCTGCCGCCTGCCGCCTGCCGCCTGATGACCTCTTCCAGGAACCAGCTGTGGTCCTGCGGCTTCTCACCGGCTCCTCCTCTTCCTCCTCCTGCCGCCTTCCCCCTTCCACTCCTCTAGGTGTGCCCAGGGACCCGGCCGTGGCTTCTTCTCGACACTCTTGTCAGAGTCCCCGGGAGGTCACCTTGACCTAGGAGCGTGTTGTTCACATGCAGACACCTGTGGTTTCCCGACTCCTTCCACTGTTGATATCGCACTTAGCTCTGTCTTGCTCAGGGAGCAGATTCTGCCTGATCTCAATACCTGGAAAACTTTGAGAACGATGTCACCGTGGGTCATAGTACCTCTGTCTTCCTGAATGTCCCATGTGACTGCAAAGTGACCAGGATTCTGCTGTGAATTTGTGTTCATATTACAGACCCTAAGTCACACCTTGGACGTCCGCCCTCCCTCGCCCACTTGCTGTCTGCTTGTCCTGCCGTTGCCCAGACGGGATGGGGGGGGGAGACTGCGGTCTACCCTCGTGCGTCTCTCCATTCACTGACCCTTACTGTGTTTGCCTTATGTAGCCTGAAGCCGTGTTACGTGGTAGGCACACATTCAGAGCTGTCTGCTTTGATGAGTCGTGTGTGATCACAACAAAGTGTCCCTCTGTGTCCCTGGTAATGGCCCTTCGCTGTTCTGAGATCCTTCTGCCTGTGCTTGGTCTGGCGGTGTCCGGGGGAGCCGCGTTATCTGTGGCGCTCTCCCTTGGTGCTTTTAACCTGCTCTGTGTCTGCCTCTGAGTTGGTCTCTGTGGACCGCAGGCCCTGGGCTGCCCCTTTGGGTCCCCACCTCTGCTTGGGCGCACTGGTGACCAGTGTGAAGCTGCTGCCGGGCCGGTTCTGCCGCCGACCTCATCTGCGTCTGCTCCTGTTGGCTGCTCTTGCCTCGGGGTGAGTCGTGTTCGTCTGTTGCAGGACTGGCAGTGTCGCTGTGTGGGGACGCTGTGTCCTTACCCCAGCGGGCGCAGGACGCCTTGACCTGCCTGTCATGGGGTGGGGCCGCCGGGCCTGCTGGCACCGTTTCTCCAGGTCATCCCCTGCCATGGCTCTGTCCCCCCGCAGGAGATTGTAGGTGTGCCAGTTTCTGTGACAGGTAGAGGTCCTGCCCCTTGTCGCTGTCAAACAGTGACACGGCAGTTGTTTGGAATACTTTCAGCTAAGCCCTGGGGTTCGGCTGGTCCAGGTGTCCTTCCCAGCAGTCTCAGGGCAGGTGGCAGTTGTGGCTCCTGTGACCCAGGTGCCAGCCTGTGTCCCTGTCTGATGGGCAGCTGTGTCCCTATGTCCTGCGGTTAGTGCTCCTCGCCATGGCCGCGTGGGGTGCTCTTGCCGGTGCTGCTCCTGGGCTGTGAAGGACGCGGCTGCTTCTCCCTGGTGCCGGGGCGGGTGCCGAGCTGACCCTGTGTCCTGCTTCTCCTCCCCTCTGCGGGGCCGCTGGGCCCCCCTCACCCCAGCAGTGGGGTGGCCACCCACCGTGTGCGCAGTACAGATGGTTCTCAGAAAGGCCCAGAGCGCGGTCCTGCGTGGTCGCTGCCTCAGATCAGAGACACGGTGGGGTCGGCAGCTCCACCGGGCCCTGGCCTTCTCCTGCGCCCTGCGTGCCCCAGGGGTCCCCGCCTCCCCCAGCTGCCGTGTGCCCGCCACGCCTCTTTCCAGGAAATCGTCTCCTGCTCCCCGGGCAGGGCAGCGCCACAGCTACGTCCTGCGCTGATGTCCTGCTTTCTGTTTCCACCTCTGTGTAGGGCTGTTTCTGAGCTGGGGACCCCTCCTAGACGGCCCCTCAGCCATCAGACAGTCCCCTGGAAGAGGAGGCTGGAGCCTGCTGTTGCTCACTGTGACAGGCACCAGGTGAGCCGCCTTCACGGAAGCTCAAAACTTCAGAGGTTTCAGTCTGTGGCCACTGGGGCCGGTCACTTTGGGTCTGTGGCAAGGACAGCATCTGGTGGGTGTTGAGAGCCAGGCCGGTGCCTGGCATTTGCAGAGGGAGTGTTTGAAGGGTGAGGCCAGGGAACCACTGAGCTGATGATCTGAGTTGAGCTGTATGTGATGGCTGAGATGCCGGACCGACTGTGTACTTGACCTTTACTGTCGGGCAATGGGGCCGCTCTTTGCAGTTCTGTGGGGATTCCCAAAGAGTTCCCATTGGTTGGGGCAGGGCCAGTGGAGGGATTTCCGGTTGGTGTGTGGTGTGTCCCGGGAGAAGGCCGCGTAGGTGGCGCTCGCAGGAGTTCGGAGGTAAGGTTTGTTCCTGCTTCAGAGGCTCGAGACTTGTGCCCAGCCAGACTGCGGCAGGTGGGGGCATGTGGCTGGGGAGGGCTGTCGCCTCCTGGCAGCGAGGAAGCAGAGACGGGCAAGAGCAGGTGCCCAGGGTCTCCGTCCACGCCAGGCCCCTGGCTCCTGGGCCCCACTACAGGACCACTCCTGCTCCTGGCACCCGGCCTGGGGACCCAGCCTCCAGCCCACGGCCTTTGGGGGCTGCTCCAAGCCCCCCCTGCAGCCCCCCCCCCAGGCGAGCCGTCCCCCACTCTGGGGTCTCTGTCCTGCTCACAGGGGCCGAGAAGCTGATCCACCACCTGCGGAAGCACAGCATACCCTTCGCCTTGGCCACCAGCTCGGGGACCACGTCCTTCGAGATGAAGACCGGCAGACACAAGGCCTTCTTCGGCCTGTTTGACCACATCGTGCTGGGGGACGACCCCGAGGTGAAGGGCGGCAAGCCCCACCCTGACATCTTCCTCACCTGCGCCCGGAGGTTCTCCCCTGCGCCGCCCCTGGAGCAGGTAGGCTGGGTGCGGGCTGCGAGGGTCGCCGCTGTGGCTGCACCGAGCAGAGCCACGTGGCGCCTGCTGAACACCAGGGCTTGGTGCCTGTCCCTGGCCGGCAGCCGGTGAGGTCAGAGCTGCGCCCCAGTCCCCAGTGACACTGGGCCAGGCCCACAGTGGACACCCCACTGCCCGAAGGGGACAGCGTGGGGGGGGGGCTCCCTGACGTGGGCAGAGGGCATCCCTGCCCCAACCAGGGCTGTCACCCTCCCTCAGTCAGGGCCACTCCCCGCAGCACTGCTCTACCCAGGGAGTCCCCCGGCCACCCCAGCCTGTCCCCCGGCCCCCCCAGCCTGTCCCCCGAGTTCCGAGGAGCTCAGCAGGACCCTGCTGCCCCAGCTACTTGAGAAGCCACTTTGTACTGTGCAGAGGGCTTTGCTCCTCGGGCAGATCCGTCCATCCTGAGGTTGGACTTGAGATGTTCCCCGGGGGGGAGCGGCCCTTCAGGGCCCTGGGCCCCTCCGTAGAGCCATGAAGTCCTCAGGGAGCCACACACTCTGCCGGCCTCCTGGTCCCATCTTCTGGGAACTCCTCCTCCATGACACTTGGGAACAAAGCCTCTGCCTTCTCTTGGTAGAAGAATCTTACAGTCCCCAGTCCCCAGCCTGCACGGCGGAGGGAGGGAACGCTCTTCCTCCCCGACAGAGAGACTGGGTGAAGCATGCGACCCCAAGGCAGGACAGTGAGGCGAACCAACCCTGGGAAACAGGGAGGGTCTGCCTGGGCGCGGCTGGAGGAAACCAGGTGCTGGCTTGGCTCAGCAGGCTGAGGGCACGAGGAGGAGGTCAGTGGTGACAGGGCGGCAGGCTGGGGCACAGCGAGACCCTCACCCTGCAGTCAATCACCAGAGGACGGCCCGGACTCCTGTGGCCCCCAGGAGCACTCTGAGCTGGAGTGGGGGACGCCCAGTTTCTGGGACACTCCAGTCCTCCTCGGCCACCAGCGCACCCCAGTCCTGAGGGGACCCAGTCCTGACAGACGGATGAACATCACATTCGTCCAGGCAGGGAGCAGGCGGGAAGTTTAAAGAGGCCACCTCTCTCCTTCCCCGAGGGCAGGGGAACTTGCAGGGGCGCTTCAGACTCGTACAAACCAGCTGAAAAGTGACCCTAACCCTCCAGGGCTCAGCCTCGTGGCTGCTGGTCCATGCAGGGCCTAGTGGGAATGGCCCTGTGACTTCCTGCCGCGGCCCTCCAGGGTCCTTCCCGGGGACCCCGCAGGGTGTTCAGGGACGTGTTGGGGGCAGCTTGGTCCAGGTTGTGTGGGCGCTGTGTGAGGGCGGAGGGACGCGGCCTGCCCCGGGTCCAGGTGCAGAATCCCGTATGGTGGCCAGGCCAGGGCCACAGGGGCGCGCACACCAGTGTGTCCAGGAGACTGGGGCTGGGGAGGCCCTGGGACTGCACCGTCGTCGCTGTCCTGTCCGTGATGGCACGTGACTGGTCAGAGGAGAGGAGCCCTTCGTGTGGAAAGGGCAGGCCAGCTCCCAGGCTCTCACCCCGGGGCACCGTGTGGGCGCTGGGCACCTCTGTCCTGCAGCTGTCACCCCTGCCCTGCGGGGGCTCTGGGGCCCTCCCGCTGTGGTGTGGTGTGCTAGAGTTGGCGGGCTCCTGCTCCGGGGGCCACCCCCGCAGGGCGTTGGGCAGTGTGTGGGGGCGCGGCCGTGGGGCAGGAGGATCAGGGCCGCTCCTGGCCTTGTCCTGCAGCCTCCCCTCGGACAAGGAGAGTCGGGTTCAGAACTCCGGGTGCCTGGGAATCGCTTTTTGCCCCCACCCCCACCCCGCCCCATTCCCCGTCTCCCTGGAACTTGGGCCCAAGTGGCACAGCATTGTCTGCAGGTGTCCATCCTGGCCCTTCTGCCTCCATGCGCGTGCCGTCTTGGTCCTCCCGCCCCGTGCGCATGCCCGCCCCGGCCCCACCTGTGCCCCGGCCCCACCTGTGCCCCGGCCCCACCTGTGCCCGGCCCCACCTGTGCCCCGGCCCCACCTGTGCCCCGGCCCCACCTGTGCCCCGGCCCCACCTCTGCCCCGGCCCCACCTCTGCCCTGCCCTTGGGGTGTGCTCACCTCCTGTGCGCTCCTGTGCCAACTCCAGGCCTTCGCTCCTGGGAGGGCCTAAGGAAATCCCAGGGAAGCTCAGGGGACCCGTGGAGCAGGCGGGGGGCGCCGGACGCTCCCAGCTCAGCCCGCTCTGGAGGCTGGGGTCCCAGGGCCCACCCACCCGGAGCCCTCTGCGCCTGGCGACTCCGCCGCCCAGACAGGCCCAGCGCCTCCGCCCCCAGCCGGTCCTCCTGGCCGCGGCTCTCGCCTCTTACCGCAGGGTTTCCTCTCCTCCGTCACTTCTGCTTGCGACCTTTTTGATCCGTGTCTTTTGGGGTCCGCCCCCTTGGTAGGCTTTCTCCTGTCCCTCGTCTGGGTCTCCCCAGCTGTCCTCCTGGCAGCAGCTGTCCAGGGGCCTTCCCGCGCCACCTGGCCCTGTCAGCCCTCCGCCTGTGAGCCAGGTCAGCTCTCCCCCGGGCACTCTGAAAACCCTGTCGTGTGGGAGCACTCCTGTCCCCTGTCCACCCGGGACCTCCCAGTGTGACTGGTCCCTTTGTGGTCGCCTGCCTGGCCCCAGCCCCACGGCCACATGCAGTGTCAGTCGGCAGCTGCTTGACAGGTTGCGTCTCTAGAAACTGAATCAGCTACGGACGGGGACAGGCCTCTCCGTGGACAGAGCACTGTGGGACCCTCGCCCTGCGGCCTCTTGCCTCCTTGAGCATGCGCCCGCCCTCCAGCTCCCGCGGAGCCCTCGCCCTGGGGCTCTCTCCCGGGGCACCCCCTGGAGCCCTCGGTGGGCAGTTGAGCAGTTTCTGGGTTTGCTGCGGCCCCCCTTCAGCCCTTCTAACAGCACAGAGCCCCTGTCCAGCCCCGGCCCATCTCCTTTTCCCTTCCCTCTCTCCCTGTGGCTGTGCCCTCAGGCTGTTGTCCAGCAGCCCCCCGGTGGGGACCTGCCCTAGGCCCCCGCCTCATCCCTGCCGGGCTCCAGCTCGCCCCCAGCCACTCCGACCCTCACGGGGACTTGTCCTCTGTGGAGCTGTGGTGTCTGGCTCCCTGCCTACTGCCACCTCTGTGAGGGTCCTTCAGCCTGGCGCAGGCCGTGCCGTGCTCAGCCCCTGTGGCCTCCTGCCGTGTGCCTGCGGGCACTGTAGGCCCAGCTGTCGCCTGCAGACCTGCTGTCCCAGGCTGCGCCCGCGGATCCTACCCCAGTACAGCTCTTCAGCTCACCAGGCCTGGGCCGTCCTGGGGAGAGGAGCCTCTGGGAGGCGCAGAGCAGAAGCCCTCCCCACGCCCAGGGCCCCAGAGGGTGTGGCTGCTCAGTGCGCCTCGACTCTGGCTTCCCCCAGCCACACCAGGCCTGAGCACCTCGGCCTGAACCTGTCCTGGCACGGACTCTGTCCTGGGCCGTCTGTGCCGAGCCCTTGCTCAGTCTTGGCATCTCGTTGAGTGTCAGCCTGGGGCCCCTGCCTAGCACCTGCTCAGAGGGCGGTGCATGTCACCTGGAGACACTGGGCCCATGGGTGACACCACCACGTGTCGCATCTCTGAGTCTCCCCCAGGACGCATCTCCTCCACTGGCTCGACTTGATGGTGCCCTTTTCCAACAGTGGTTCCACTGGCTTGCAGCAAAGCCCATGGGTCCTTCCACCCTCGACAACCTGTACCTTCCTCAGGTCACTCAACAGGAAGGCCTCTGTCCACTTGGAGGGATCGACTGACCTGGCTCAGGGGTCGAGCTCTGGCCCAGCGGGCGCCAGGCCCTCGGCGGAATCCCAGCATCTCACAAAGAAACAGGGAAAAAAGGTTCAGCTGACCCCAGCTCACGAAGGCAGCCGGAGTGACCAGTGACCTGCCACTGGGGCCGGGGACTTATAGGGTGCGCGGGGGCATCTGAGATTGCTCTGCGGCTGGCGAGTCACAGAGGGAGTAGTCCCACCAGGGCTGCCCTGCCACCAAGAGGGGCGTGAACTCTGGCCTGACACTGAGTGACCTCACATCTGACCCCGTGATACAGGTCACCTGGACTGACACTCCCTACGAAGACAAGGAGCAAGGGGAGGCCAAAGATGGAGCGCGCCCCTTGAAGGGGCCTGGTACCGAGCACGGGCCGGCCGGGACCCCAGCAAGGAAAGCCAAGCGCTAAGGCCAGCCACCGCGGCCACTTCCCTCCAGGGTCCCACACAGGAGTGGCTGACGGTGAGAAGCCCTTGAGAGAGGGCGTTGCAGGAGAAAGGATGCACCCAGGACCTGCCACCAAGCAGGGAGGGTGGCTCTGCTGAGCTGAGCCGAGCCCAGGCCTTGGCTGTGACACCTCAGCAGGCTGGGAGTAGGGGTGCATAGGAGGACTGTGGTCCCCAGACCACCATGGCAGCAGGGAGCAGACTGCCACAGAGATCATGGGGAGACAGGTAGACGACACGCGGGGGTACAGGTCAGCAAGTGACAGGTGACAGTACAGAGACGACTGTGGGCAGACGGCAGGTACGTAGGCCTGAATAGATGGATACGTAGGTATAGACAGACAGAAGATGGTGGGTAGACAGACACACACTAACTAGATGGGTCCTGTGTGCACACACAGATGATAAAAAGGCCCATGATGGTGGAGAGTATGGCTGGGTGGGTAGATGCACGACAGAGGACACGGTGGACGTGAACAGGTGGATGACAGCAGATAGGCAGATGCTGTTAGACCACGGGCAGATGACAAACAGGTCATGATGGTAGGTGGGCAGACAGCTGGAGGACAGGTAGACAGACAGATGATGGAGAAGAAGGCTGGTGGACAGGTGGATGACAGAGAGATGATGGACAGGTGACAGATGGATACAGGTACAGATAGATGGAAGATGACAGGTAGGTACTAACTAGACCATAGATACACTGAGAGCTGATGGACAGGGGGTGGGTACACAGGTGGGAG